GCAAAGCTAAGAAAACTAATTTCCTCACCCCACCTGCATTTGAGAAGTTTACTCCAAACAAGGCACTTGCCCTTTTAATTTAAAACGGTTTGACAAAGTCTGCGTATCAAACCTTGAGAACAGCCGCCAAAGAGAAAAATGCAGATGTCTACCCGCCTTACAATGCTGTTTGAGAAGCAAAGCAGAAGTGCTACCCGCAAAATATAGATGTGAGCGAAGAGTCGGCCAAAGTTTCTCTACAAAGTCTTCTAGACCATACAGCCCTTCGTATATTGGAACAACGACAGGACAATGTTCACGAACTAATTGAGAAGGTACCAAAAGATGAACGTCCCCTCTTTCTTGACTTAATTTTGCGAACGGGGTTTTGATGGCTCATCAGGTCAAAGTGAGTATAAACAAAGATTCACAACCACAGAACAGTCTGATGATTCGAGTTTGTTTTGCATCACGTACACTTGTACCATTGCAACTGAATAACAGGGAACTAAGTGATATGGGAAAACCCCAGTTCCTTCATCTATACGCTTTTGTCGGCCAATCCATCTACAATACAAAAAAGAAACACAGGAGCTATCCCAGGAAGAACATCAGAACAAGGAGACGGAAATCCAGTAACTTCAACCTATAGCAGTTGATCTTGACATTCAAGTAGAAGGCGAATTAGCTACAAAGGAGACCGTCTACGTCAAGTGCAATCTTCACTTCATCATGGTTGACCAAAAAAGTCATCAATGCAATTACTAAAACCTCTTCAACCATGCGATGTTACATTTGCGGGACCACACCTAAGGACTTCAATAATTATTCACCATTTTCCACAACCCGTTTCAGACAGATACAAATTTGGACTCTGCCCACTACACAAATGGATTCGTTGTTTCAAAATGATGTTTCACATTGCATATAGACTTCCCTTCCAAAAGTGGAGGATACAGCCAGAAGAGAAGAGGTAAGTCATGGCAGAGAGAAAGAAAAAGATTCAGGAACTTTTTAGATCAGAACTCGGGTTGAAAGTTGACCAACCAAAGCCAGGATCATGGAACTTCAAATGACGGAAATACTACACGCAGAGCTTTCAACACTGAAACAAAATTCTCCAACATCTGCGGTCTTGATGAGAATCTAGTTCATAGATTTCACGTAATTCTGATCGCTTTATCCTCAGGACTACCCACTGACCCCGAATTATTTGGACCCTACTGTTTGGACACTGCAAAGCTGTGTTCAAAATGCTAGTCAGTGTGCATGTCTTACTGATCTACGGAGCACCGACTGGCATGATGAGAAAAGAAGCTCAAGAAGCTCGGAACAAGGATAACAAGCTCTTTTAGTTGAGGAACGCAAGAAAAACGTCAAGGAAGCACACAATGAGTGACTTTTTCACAGACTTATGGTAACCGGTGACATCGTAATAAGCAGTAAGTCTGTGTACAACAGGAAAAAGAGGATCGACACCCGTTCCCCCAGAAGTCCGACAGATGACAAAGGAGCCCGAACTTGTCATTCTTGTTGAAGAAGAATCCTCACCTACTCCAACCCACAACCCAAGAGATTCTTCAGAGAGTGTTTCGTCGTAAGGTAAGTTATTACAAACTATAGCAGCCTTCTGTGCTCTCCTTATGAGTAATCTGTACCATAAATAACAACGCAAGAGATGCGTTTCCACTGATGACATGAAGTCAACATGTATAATTCTGCTTTCTAGCCGATATTGTCTAAAACTATATTTGCTTTGACGCGCTTAGAATACAAGTGTTAATTTGAACTACTAATTAACAACACAAACAAGCAGAAATGAGTTACGTCGCAAAGTGAATGATTAATGGTCAATTCTTATGTTCACTTAGAATTAATTTTCTTCTTTTCTTATGGTTTTATACCTTGACAAAACAAATATTTTGTAGATTTGGTCATAGTGTTGAATAAAATTTGTTTAGTTCTGATTGTTTTCATTTTGAAAACAACGATAGGGTGGTAATAAAAAAAAATCAAAATCAAAATTATAATGATTATAAAATATTATGAGCATTGCTTCAAATGAGATAACCATTGACATACATTTGTATAACAATTAAAATACATAAAACTTAATCAAAAAATAGTCATTTCCAAAGTCTCGTTAAAAACACAACACAAGACGCACGCATATTTCAGCCAATCAAAATTCAGCACTTAAATGACGTGACAGCATTTTGGAATTATGTCTATTGTCTTTCTCGGGTCATGAAACCCCCAATACCTGCATATTAGCACAAATAAATACGCAAAACAATTTTGGTGCAGTTTGACCTTGAGCTGGCCCACTGTGCGCCGCTTTGCGGCACTGACCCCTTGATATGACATGCAATATAATTCAAGACAATAAGTGGCCTCAATGACGTGACCTGGCCTAACTTCGGCCGTGTGTGCCTTGCTGCATTGCATCTGATGTATACATGGAAACAGCAACAACGCCCGATAAAGGCCTGGGGATTATTTAGAAGGAAAATGGACTACTCGAGGTTTATGAATGACTATGGGCAACATATGAAACCCGCTACCATTCGCCACATATGTGAGTACAAACAAAAGAACCTATAATTAGTAGCAGGTTAGCGTGAAAATTCTGCAACCTCAGATGGACACTGGTCACTTGCATGACCAGATGACGTGTCATCGGCATTGCCGATGGCATGATGTAATCAATTTTGAGTGAGCAGTCGTCAATACTTGAGTAATACTAGCTGGCAGTAAAATCATAGGAATCCATTCCGGGACCACTTTCATTTTCAATTTATATTAATGATTTTGACAATTCTTCTGATCTGTTTTCTTGTATTCCATTTGCTGATGACAGCAACTTATTTTGTCAGTTTGTAGTCATCTGTATATTGATATAGTATATACGTGTACATGTAGGCCTACTTTATGAAAATGTTAATTTTAAGCTTTAGAAAATCCCTCAATATTCAAAAGTCAAGTTTTATATTATTCACCAGTAAACAATTTTATAAGTTGCCTCATATCTTTATCATGATTGACAATACACAAACTGTAAAAGCTGATATGTGAAATTTCTAGGTTTACATGTATATACATGAGAGACTCTCATGGAAAAAGCTCATTAATAATATCTGTGCAATTATTTTGAAAAACATTGGTGTTATACGTAAACTGAAAACATTCTTCCCTTAAGACATATTTCACATACATGTACTTTTTAATACCATGATATTGCCTTTAGCTTGGGGCAATTGTGGGAGTTGGTCAAACTAACAGAATACTTAAATTACAGAAAAAGGTCAGAAGTATAATCAAGTGTACAACTTACCTCGAACGCAACAGTCCTCTTTTTTATAATTGTAAAGCACTTAAATTGGATATTTATTCTCTTAATCTTTTGACCTTCATGCATCAATTACATAATGACATTCTACCTGAATCTATCTGCGCTTTGTTTATAGGAAACAATGATGTGCATGATCACTTCAGTAGACAGTGTACTAAATTTCATCAATATTTTACTCATACTACTGCTTCTGTACAGTTACATGTAGGCATCAGGGTCCCAAAAAGTGGAATTCTCTTGAAGTTTCTATAAAAGTATACAAAATATTTGTTTATTCAAAAAGAAGTTCAAGGCTACTCTCTAGTTATGTGGGTCTTTAATTAGTCGAATTCTTAAGATGCCTGACAGAGTTACTGGACCTACTGTTTTTTTGGTTTAGTTCTATGATGTGGATGTGTGTGTTAGGTGTGCTATGTGCTAATATGTAATGTTAATTAATGTGCTTGAGGATCCTACTGCTCGACAAGCTTTTGCTTTGTTGGGACCCCCATCCACATTTATTTGTTTCATATATAATCATGACACATTATAATTGACAGTTACAATGTATGTGGTAAGATAAAGAATGAATGAATGAAAAGAAACACAAGTCCTCGGACATGTCGGAAAGAGTTCACCGACACTACTTGACACCCCGTGCACAAACCCTATGAGACTGGTCTGAAAATTCTTAAGTGTTTTTGAAGTTAATGACTTGGATTTTCCCTCCTAAATTGAACTTTTCTGGACATGTTCTGGCTTCTTGAAGGCTATATTGGTATAGCTAGGATTTTACTAGTGGGGGTACCATGGGGGCACAAAGGGGGCACCAGCATCTTAT